ACTCAAACATTTAAAGAAGTTATGACTTCTTCGGAATCATTATTATGGAAAGAGGCAGTCAATAGTGAAATAGAATCCATACTGAACAACCATACATGGGAATTTGTTGATCTTCCTCCTGGAAATAAATCGTTGGGTTCTAAATGGATCTTTAAGAGGAAAATGAAAGATGATGGCACTATTGACAAATATAAGGCAAGATTTGTGGTCAAAGGATACAGACAACGAGAAAGTCTTGACTATTTTGATACATACTCCCCAGTTACAAGAATTACATCCATACGAACGTTAGTAGCGTTAGCTGCAGTTTATGGTCTTGAAATTTATCAAATGGATATTAAGACGGCCTTCTTAAATGGACAGTTGGAGGAAGAAATCTACATGGAACAACCTGAAGGGTTTGTGGATCCAGGTAAAGAAAAGAAGGTCTGTAGACTTGTTAAGTCCCTTTACGGATTAAAACAAGCACCCAAATAATGGCATGCTAAATTTGACCAAACAATGTTGTCAAATGGATTTAAGATAAATAAATGTGATAAATGTGTGTACATTAAAAATGTTCCAAATCACATAGTCATTGTTTGCTTATATTGGATGATATGCTCATAATGAGTAATGACACTGCCAACATAAATGATACTAAGCGTATGCTAACTAGCAAGTTTGATATGAAAGACTTGGGAGTTGCTGATTTAATTCTGGGAATTAAGATCCATAAGACTTCTCAAGGTCTGGCATTGTCACAATCTCATTATATCAAGACAGTACTTGAAAAATTCAAGCACTTGGGCTTTAAAGTTGCAAAGACTCCAATTGATGTGAATCTTGCATTAGCAAAGAACAAAGGCCAAAGCATATCACAATTGGATTATGCTCGTGTGTCGGGTTGCTTAATGTACATCATGAATTGTACACGACCAGATATAGCTTGTGCTATAAGTAAATTGAGTCGATATACGAGCAATCCAGGTCAATCTCATTGGATGGCCATGAAACGAGTTTTGGGGTATTTAGTACATACCCAGGACTTTGCTTTGCACTTCAGTAAATATCCTGCGGTCATTGAGGGATACTGTGATGCAAATTGGATCACCGGATCAACTGATTCCAAGTCCACAAGTGGATATGTATTCACTATTGGTGGAGGAGCGGTATCTTGGAAGTCATCCAAACAAACTTGTATTGCCCGCTCTACAATGGAGGCTGAGTTCATAGCCTTGGATAAAGCCGGTGAAGAAGCTGAATGGCTCCGAAATTTCTTGGAAGATATTCCATTTTGGCCCAAACCGTTGGCACCAATATGCATACATTGTGATAGTCAAGCGGCAATTGGAAGGGCTGGGAGCGTTATGTATAACGGTAAGTCTCGCCATATACGACGAAGACATAAAACAGTTATACAATTACTCTCTAGAGGAATTATCACGATTGACTATGTAAAGTCAAGTGATAATGTGTCGGATCCACTTACAAAAGGCCTAACTAGAGAGGTAGTTGAGAAGTCATCAAGGGGAATGGGACTGTGGCCGAGAACAAGTCATAGTGGCGGTAACTCTACCTAGAAGACTGGAGATCCCAAGATCTAGGTTCAAGGAGATCAAACAAAGTCATTTATGACGGTTCAACATTGTCAACTAAACTTTTGGTCCATTCTCGTGATGAGACAATGTTCAGTACCAAGGATAAAGCATTAAGGCTTTTTAATGATTTCTAAATTTGATACGGGGTATATCAAATAGTGTATCTACGGGATGACACGTTTAGGAATCACCTATGTAAGTGTGAAGTGTTAGCCGCTTCAAGGAGAACTTTGTAAGGCCAGTTCTCTACGCACTTATGAAACCAGGCGGTGTTCATGGCTGAAACGAACACAACAATGAGAACCAAAGACGGTTAAGGGTTGGTTGTGTGACTTGTGATTTTCTAGGTATACACCAAAGTTCGACGGTTCAAAGATATCAAATCTATCGATTGATCGAGTATATCCGACATAAGTTCACTACGAAAAGTTCAAAGGGAAACTTACTTGTCCAGATACAATTAATCCTTACTTGCGAATCACGCAGTTTTTCATGTATACTTCTGTGATATAGCCATTCCCCATTCATGTGGAGGATTGTTGGGTTTTTATGTATTTAATTAATATATTAAATACTTAAAAGAGAGTGAATGTGAAATGGAGGGAAATAAAATTTGAGTGAAATTTTAAGTTTTCCCCCTTGGCAAATGGACATTGTCCCATATTGGAAGAGGAAGAGGTTTTTTATGGGTATATAAGCAATTGCTCTTCTTCTACCTCTTAAAGAGTTGAGGAGAAGGCAAGCCTCGCGCTGTCGTCGTCGTCGCTCGCTCGGCTCGGCTCGGCTTCGGCTTCGGCTTCGTCTACGGCAACGGCTACGACTTCGGCTTCGGCTTCGGCTTCGGCTTCGGCTTCGGATTTGGATTTGGTCAAATGATCGATTGATTGATTAACTTTTTGGACCAAATCTATTTGTTAATAGTAAAATATTAACAGAAATATTATTAAATATTTATTTTAATAATATAATAGTAATATTAAAATAAATATTAATATTAAATCATCCAATCCGTTTTTTCTGTTTTGGTAACAGAAAATTAACTACCCTTCAATTTTTCCTTTTTATTTTCCCTCTTTATTGTTGAGTAAATTGCCATTTATGTAATGGCATTTATGTTGTGGCCGTTTTGCATAAACAGTCATTTTGAAGAGTTGCACCTGTTCAGATTTCAGCCCAACTTTGGCTATAAATACAACACTATTCTGCTCAGAATTTTACTACGATTTTCTGAGTTTCTTCTCCTTCTTCTGCATACTTTTAGCATCAAACAAAGTAAAAAGTAAGTGTGATTTGCTACCGAACTTTGTGTTCGCTGAAACACTGGGGTTTGAAGTACCACTACACCAGTGTGTAATTCGATCTATCCTGGGAGGAAATAATCCATAACCTTGGGTACTAGGAGGGGATTAAATTTCTTAAGGAAACACTGTGAATTCAGTGGGCTCGAATTGGTTTTCTGTCATTTCTGTTTATGTTCATTTCTGTTTATATTCATTTATATTTCCAGAATTATTTTACAAATATAGTGTACTAACAAACATTGTATTGTGTACAGTCAGATTAGATGAAAATGAGAAAGTAAAATTCTCTCCACCGACTCTCTCTCTCTAGAACATTCGATCCTCTATTACTGAGCTCTCAATTCATCTCTTTTGCTTAAACTTTGATACTAATAAATAAGGAAGATTTAATTGAGTTGCAACAATGAAAAAGGAAAAGGCTCAACATTACCTTTGAACTATCGTAATTGGAGCACTTTAACCTCCATTTGTTTTTGGTATCAAATTTGAGAAATTTGTCCAAATAAAGCAAATATATTGCTTTTAAGCTATTTTATGTCCAATTTGGAGTTCTGTTAGTTTGAGGGATAAGAGTGGACCAAAATATTAACGGAAAGGACTTTTTTGATACCAAAAACAAATGGAGGGCAAAAGTGCTCTATATAGGATAGTTTAAAGGTATTTTCGCCCTTTTCCGTAATTTTTTTTTAAAAAAAAAACATTGACTGATTATCATTCTACAGTAAGAATTAATAATCAATAATAAATTGACTGATTTTACGGACTTGCTGTTATTCTACCCTAATTTTCCTCTTTTATTTGAATTTGAGTGTAGGCAAATTGTACACGTTACCACCTATAATTATTGTTTGAAGAATTAGAATTAAAACCACTACTTATTGATTGCGCTTGAAAACTCCGTTTCTTCTTTGTTAAGTCAGTCCACTTCCCACGGTTTTACTCTTTTACTCATGCTCGAGTCGTCCATGACTAAATACCCGTTTTAATTTCACTACAAAAGAATTATTAGCTACGAACCTCATTATTAATTTGTTGCTAAATCACTAATAGCTAACAAACATTTTGATACTTTATTGTTAATCCGTCGCTAAATAGTATTAGGGACGGATTTTTCTGCTTACCCACAAAATTTGTTTGTCGCTTATTTTTATTTTTAAAGTAGTGCTTAGGTTATGAAATTGACTAAAAACGGAATTTGAGTAAGAAAAAAAATACTAATTATATAGTGTTAATCTTGTGGTATAAAAATATATTACTATACAGATAAAATAAAAATATTAATATTAAATTATGCTCAAATATAAAAAATGTGAGACAGACATGAATCTCAAGTACACCCTACCCTACCTGCGAATATTCTCCTAATTCTATTCTACTTCGGTTTCTTATTTTCTGCTCTCTTCTTCTTCTCTTATAAATACATTACAACTCTTACTAACCAAATTCCAAAACAAAACCTAAAAAAATTCCTCATATCAACTTCCATTACCATCAACAACAAAAACATGTTTGAAACCTTAAAAACTGACTTCCAAATTAGTGAAGAAATTGGCCGTGGTAAATTCGGTATAATCTACCGTTGTACATCCAAATTAACTGGTCAATCTTTTGCCTGTAAAACCATTAAAAAAACACTTCTTCTTGATTCCACAGACCGTGAATGTCTAAACAAAGAGCACAAAATTCTGCAACTTCTCAGAGGAAATTCTAATATTCTTCAAATATATAAGGTTTATGAAGATGATAATTATCTTCATATAGTAACAGAACTCTGCTCTAGCGATGATCTTTACGATAGGTTATCTAATGGATTATTTTCTGAGAAAGCTTACGTTACAATCACTTTTCTTTTTAATTTATATTTTCTTTTATTCTTAATACTTCGTGTTTTTCCTATTGTTACTAGTACGCGTAGGAAGGGGAGTCTCTGTATGATCTATAGGCCATGGGTCCGAGCAGTTGAAGTAACTATTAATGCTTGCCTTAGGATAGGCTGTCTACATCACACCCCTTGGACTGGGGTGCAGTCCTTCCCCGAACCCTGTGTAAACATAGAATATTTTGTGTACTTGGCTTCCCTATTATTAATACACGCATACCTCTACCAATGTTTAATGAATTTTCTAATATAAATATACAATGTTTAAACAAAAATGACTGAGTTCGACCGAACTCGCACAAAATAAGCTAGCTCCGCTTCTGGGTTTATTTTGGGGTTTGTTTATTACGAATCTTTTAGTCTTGTTAAAATATATACGTCAATAAAAAAATTAGAGAAATTTTAGTACTAGAAAAAATAATATATTTTATAATATTGGACTTGACATGCTTGAATAATAGCAATAAGTCGCTAGTTGACTGTATAGACTAATTACAATTTTATCACCATCTTGCCCACTTATAAGTGTGAGCAAAATGGACGATAAAGATTCATATAATGGTCCCTAACTTGCTTTATATTGAAGCGTAGATGTTGTATTGTTACTACTTCCTTCTTATTTTATCTCATTCTTAATTTCCGGACATGAATTCTTTAATTGTATTAACTAATTTATTGCTTTTGTTACTAAAACAGGACAATTTGAAGCTAGCTGATTTTGGATATGCAGAATGGTTTATGGGGAATGAGTACATTATGCTTTCTGGGGTTGCACCTTTCTGTGGTGACAATACAAAAGAAATCTTTGAAGCAGTTCTAAGGGGAAATTTGAGGTTTCCAACTCGGATTTTCGGGTCGGTTTCAACTGAAGTCAAGGATTTGCTGAGGAAGATGATATGTAAAGATGTTTCTAGAAGATTTTCTGCGGAGCAAGTTCTAAGTAAGTTGTTTTTTCTCACTCAAAATTAAGCCCTTTGATTTTGAAGCATTCTTTAAAAGTTGCTCGAACTTAGGTGCGGGGTGCTCGATACTGGTGCGGATCTAGAGGTCGGATCCTTCATGATCTAAATTTTAGGATTCGGGAGTAGGATCAGGTACGGATATGAGTGTGGTGATTCTGCTAAAAATAATTCAAATATTTAAAATTAGATTTATAAAAATATGCCCAAATTATAATTCCACCATAGCTTTTGTTTAAGAAATCATTGTATCGGTCTCGAATTCTTTCGTTGATTTTGGTCAAAGTACCCAAAATCAATTGACCAAATCTAGTACGGATTCCACACCCACACCTATGTCATGTCGATAGCGGTGCGGCACCAAAACTGAAGAGTCCGAGCAACGTATGATTTTTTTTGTTTTCCTTTCTTTGCAACCTTTAAAGTCTTTGCAAAAAGGTGTGATATATTTTTCTGGTGTAATGACTGTGACATGATAGAACCAAATTATTAACGGAAGACATATTAAGATCATTTCACATAGTTTAGGGGCATATATGACCCTTTTTCCCTTTAAAAGATAACGATCCAGAAAAATAAGACAAACGACCTGTTAGGATGGTCTAAAGTGTTTTAGACTATATTGTATATAAGTTGAATCCTTTTGCCTTTTGTTTAGCATTCCCTTTACCTTGTCATTTTCGTAGTTAAATTCTGATCTTGAATTTTTTTCGTTAAATGCAGGGCATCCATGGATAATTAATGGCGGAGAAACCAGATCAACGGCTATAGTAAGAATTGAACCAACAACCTCATAAAGACTTTGAACTCCCTTGATCATTTGAGCTATGCTTTTGGACTATGACAAGATGATTCAAAATATAATATATAGAGACAGAAAACGAATTTTGTCTTAAATGTACAAGCAAAGGGGGTTGTGAATCCCCTTCTGCCCCCCTAAATCCGCCCCTGGCTGTGCTGTACATACACTTGGGACCTGTCTAAAACTTACCTTTTTAGTTCTTGATTTTGTTTTGTGGAGGGAAATCAAGAATCTGAGACTGTACATATATGCGGATAATGAGTTCTTCCTATATGCAAATGAAATAAAAAGTTAAGCTATCAAGAAGGAATCCCTTGTGTGTTTCTAAAAGAACATATGTATATAAAGTTTGTTGCTTATCTTTATATGAATCTTTATGTTAACTGCATATTTAGTGTCTGGAATCAGTACTGAAAGAAATGTGTTTTAAGCATCTTTTTTATTTTATGCTTTATATATATGCATCTTGAAACAATTTTGACCTTAATATGCAGCTTGATGGAAGTTTGTATTGAAGCATCTGGTTTAATTTGATAAAAATTTTCTCTTCTTTTGTTGATATGAAATATCGTACAACTTTGAAATACGTTTCTTGAGTACTTTGGAATATTTACCTAAAGCATTCATTGGAACTTTTAAGGCGTATATTATTAGCATATGCTTTAGAATTTAGCTTTTTTTTATTAAGCAGCAACTAAAGGACCAGAAGACATGTTGATTTGGAACTTTATGAGTTGCAAATCAATTATTTGTACGAATTTAATAAATATTTTAATACATATACATGTGAGCCAAAATTATTTGATTCGGACGAACCTATAACCAATCCTTTGCTTTTGCCCCCTGAGCTAAACCCATGACATGTGGTTGGTCAGTGGTGTTAAGTGCCAAGACTATATTTGAAATAAAAAGATGGGTCCAAAGCCATATATAGATCTGTTAAGTAGCTTATCAAACTAAGTCATGTGACACTGTTATGAAATTATCTAAGCTGGACCACCCTTTTATACCCTTCTGATGGGGAAAATTATACGTCCAATTAATTACGTTGAATAATCTCCGTCTGTTTCACTCTATTGACCACGATATATGATCAAGGAAAGATTTGGAACAGCAACAAAAAAATTAATTGAAAAGTTTACGACATATATAGGAAAAGAAGGGAAACCTTGGAGTAACAAAATTTAAAGATCACGAGTTCAAATCGTGAAATCAGCCATTAATACTGTATCAGGGTAAGTTGTTACATAATATTCCTTAAGGTGCGGTCCTTTCCCAAACTTACGTGAATACGGAATGTTGTGTGCACCCAGAGGCGGAACCAAAATTTTTACGCGACGGCAGCACCACTATTTCTTTTAGTGTTCAGGGTGCCAAGTTATTTATATAAAATTAATGTATACACACATACATATACAAAATCTCTGCCGAAGTTTACAAGGTCTAGTAATCCCTCAATGGTACAAGTAGGTTCGTGCTGCGTACACCCGGTTGCCCTTTACTACATATATAGGATAAATGAGGATAAATACTTACTATCAATGTTTACCCCAAATTAAAGTATTTAAACTTAGGGAGAAGGAAGTATTAGCTAGCGTTTGGCCATAGATCCCAAATTTATTTTGAAAAATCTGATTTGGGTGAAGTTTGGTTTGAAGATGAAATACGTTTTCAAAACATATTTTCCAACTTTATTTTGGAAAAACATGTATATAATTGCCAAGTTTTGGGATTTTGGCCCAAAATCAGCTCAATAACTGATTTTGGGATTTGAAATTTGGGATTTGGGATTTAGCCAAAATATGAGCAAAATTTATGGCCAAACATGAGTTTTGAAAATAAATTCCAAATTTATTTTAGGAAAACTCATGGCCAAACAGGGCCTTAGTGTTATTTAGAATTTTGTTTAGAGGACCAAATGTATAAAGGTGCTGCTTTTTTTTTTTTTTTTTTTTTTTCTGATAATCTTTAAGTTTCCTGTATATATATTTCTATCCGGAATCAGTGCTGCTTTACAGATATGAATCTTGAAATAATGAGATTTTGACTTTACACGCAAATCAATGGAAATATATATAAAGCATCTGGTTTAATCCCCTTTTTCTCTTCTTTATTGACGTGAAATGTGCCAGAAATTTAATGTGTCTCTTGAGCTCTGAATATGTAATAAATTAAGCTGGCATTCCTTGGAATTTTGAAGGGGGTGTAGTATTAGCATATGCTTTATTTGGAACTAGTTAACTTATTCGAGTCCGAAATTTTTTTATGCTTTTTTGCACAAAAAGCATATTTTTAATGTTTAAAAAAAGTTACACAAATAGGTAATTCATACTGCGAATTACATTAACGGAAATTTAGCCGTTAAAATAATTCGCAGTATAATACTGCAAATTATTAAAAAATTATTATTTTATGCAATTCGCAGTACTATACTGCGAATTGCTTAAAATGGGCCCAGTAATTTTTTCAAAAAGCATTTTCGCATTATTATACTGCGAATTAGGTTAATTCGCAGTATAATACTGCGAAATGCCATTTTTACTGATTTTTGGCCCCACAAATAATAATTAACTGACATAACAATAATTCAAATACATAAAACGCAGTATAATACTGCGAATTCCTTTAAAAAATTCTACACCCCAAGCTCGGACTTGCCTTATTTATAGGCGTTTTAATTTTATGAAAATTCATTCAATACTTAACTTCAAACATACGTTCATCATTCTCTCTTCTCCTTATCAATCATTTTTTTACAACGTCTGAAGTGCCAAAAATAAGGGTTTCACTGCATTGGGGGGGGGGGTGAGGTTGTGGTGGAGAATAACTCTGTGAGGTATAGCTCACCTCCACACTGTCATGTTAAATTGCCGCTTACTATGGAGTACGATACATTTGTATCGTTGTTACGTAAAAAAATGAGTGAGCGGAGGCGATCGGTTAACCTTAAAGTAACCGGTAGATTTCCATATTCAGTGACTCCGCAGGGGTTTGCTTATTATTCTGAGTTTAACATCGAGGATGATGAAACTCTTAGAGATTTTTTGCGGATTCCGGATGAATACAGGGAATTTATTGTAACAAAATTATTGGAAATGTACATCAAGGTGGAAGACGTTCCCCGTAATGAGGGCGTGCATAACAGGGATAACCCCCAGTCATCGGGTGGTTATTCTGGAGCAGTTTTTGCCGGACAGATTGCTGATAAAAGAGCTTGCCTTGATTTAAACTTGTCACCACCGGCAAATGAGCAGCCAATAAATAATTTTTTCACTTTATATAATCAACAAGACGACTGGTAAACTTCAATTTTACTACGCTTTAGTGATGTTTTTTTTATGTTTTAATTGGATTTGTATTAACACTCATATTTTTTATAGGGGATACCGTCTGGATATGAATTTTACAAGTTATGACCCCACTCCTAGTTGGAATATGCGTAGGTCTGGAGTATTGGACCACGGTGGTCCATCCGGGAGTCATCACCAACATGAAAATATCCATCATGAAACGTCAAGACAATACGATTTGTAAGTAAAGTGATATAGCTATATCTAAAGTATTTTTCCTGAGTTTTGGGTAACTTATCTTTTTGTTCTTTTTGTGCAGTGAAAACAAGCTTCTTGAAGCTCCTGACCTCACACAGTTGCCCATAGACGACGTATTTACTTGTGATTTGGCAGATGCGCAGAGTCAGGAGGATGATAGTGATTATGACAACAATGCGGATGAGTCTGGGGATGATACACCCTTCCATGATGAGGGTGATGAGGAGGAGGAGGAAGTGAATGTTGAACCCGAGCTGACGAGGGAGCATGTTCCTCCACCTCCCGCTAGACAAGAGTGTACGAGTCCTACGTGCCATTTCATGAGCGGAATATTCCCCACCTTGATAATTTTCCAAGCATGCCTAACGTGGATGCCCTCACAAGGGATGATGATGAATTACGGTCAGCGATGTGGGATGAGTCTAGACCAGCTGTTCTGACAAAGGGCATGTATTTCTCCGATAAAGCTCGCCTAATTAGGGTTGTAAAAATCTACAGTATAAGAGAGTGTCATGAGATGACGGTAAGTGAGTCAACTACGGAGAAATACAAGGCTGTATGCCGTAGGTGGTTTATGGGTTGTCACTGGATGCTGCGTGCCACCAAGAAGAAATCAGGTTTGTGGAAAGTGGGTAAATTTATTAGCGAGCACAGATGTGAAATGGACACATTCAATGAGAATCACTTCAACTTGGATGTGGACTTGATTTCCCTTGTCTTGATTCCATTTTTGGAAGTGTCCATTAGGTTCAAGATTAAAGAGTGTATTACAGCCGTCCACCAGGAGTATGGTTGTACTATAACCAAAAGAAAGGCATATCTCGGTTGCAAACGTGCCTTTGAACTTATTTATGGCGACTGGGATAAGTCCTTTTCAAATCTGCCCAGGTACATGGCTGCACTGCAACACTTTAACCCCGGGACTGTTGTTGAATGGAGGCGTGAGCGGAGTCCGGACAGACCGGAATATATTTTCAACTATGTGTTTTGGTCATTTAAACCAGCAATTGATGGTTTTGTGCATTCTCGTCCTGTAATTTCCATAGACGGTACTCATGTCTATGGAAAGTATGATATTAAGCTTTTGATTGCAGTTGCAGTAGATGCCAATGGACAAATATTTCCACTAGCTTTTGCCATTTGTGCCAACGAAAGTGAAGAGACGTGGACGCTTTTTTTGAACCACTTGAAGCAGCACGTTGTCAAACAGCATTCAGGTATTTTTCTAATATCTAATCGCCATGATAGTATTTTAAGTTATGTACGTCACTTGCCTGAATGGCATGAACCATATGCATACCACCGTTACGGTGTGAGGCACCTGAAGGCCAATTTCCAGAAGAAATTTCCTGACAAGGCCTTGCATGACTTAATGTGGATGGCTGCAACTGAGCACCAGCAGTGCAAATTCACGAGGCGCATGGAAGCGATCCGGCAGATAGATCCACGAGCCTATACTTGGTTGATGCAACATGAGCTTCACATGTGGACATTGCATGCTGATGGCGGCAGACGATGGGGAGCCCTCACTACAAACGTGTCGGAGTCATTCAACGGCTTGTTGAAGTCTTCCCGTGGACTGCCTGTCACTGCCGTGGTCCGCATGACATTCAAACAGAGTGCGAAGAGGTTTGTTGAAAGGCATGCAGCTGCATCGGCATTGATGGACAGGGGTGTTGAATTTATGCGAATACCCATGAGAAGATTTGAAAGGTCTAGGAGGCG